TCATTTGCTCCAACAGGGGTCTCAGGGATCTCCTTCTCCATAGGGTCTCTACTGTTAAGTCCGCATGAATTTGAATAGTCAAATCTCCATACTTAATTAATGATCTTTCCTTGGTCTTCTTCCAAATCTCATCTTTGACCCTGAATTTTTGGAACTGGACAATTATGTCTCTCGGTCTTTCCTTCTCAGTAGCCTGTTTAAGCTTTCCTGTTCTAAACACTCCATCTAATTTGATCCCGTCTGTTTCTGGTCTATCTCGTATGGAGTTCAAGATTTTTTTCACTAGTTCATATAGTGTTTCGCCTTTTGCAGACTCTGGAATTCCTCGTACCCTAAGGTTACACCTTCTTTCTTTATTTTCTTGGGCTTCCATCCTATAGGTCATTTTTTTGGGGGTGTTTTCCAATTGATTTATTTTTTTCCTTAAATTGTCAATGTTTTGGGCCTGGATTTTAACTTTCTCCTCTGTTTCTTCTATTCTTAATAGCAGGTGCCCTAGGTCATTTCGAATAGCTGTCATTTCATGTTTAATCATTTTTTTCCAAATTCTGAAACATTTCTATCATCTCCTTCTTGTTTGGTGCTTGTAGTTCCCCATCTGATTCTCTTTTTCCCGGGCCATCCTCTATTTTGTTGGCTGCAGCTGCTATTCATGCCCAATGATAATCTCGGACTATTACCTGAACTAGTGTCCATTTCCCCTTTTGTACTTGCGCCTTGGGCCCTTTCTGGGGTAATATTTCCATATGATGTGAATTTCTTTATTGTTCCTGTTTGAGACCCTTTGGGCCCTGCTGCCTTGGGACCTTTATTCTTCATATCCTCTGTAAATTTCTTTTATTAATTTTTTCTTTCTATATCCTCAAGATGGGATTATACTTCTCCTTTATAATTGCTGGACTAGACACACTTGCGATTTTTTATGTTTTATTTTCCTAGGACACCTGGGCCTCCTCTCTTCTTCTCTTCCAACCCCTGGGAATCCTCCCCTCCCCTCCCCTCTTTCACCACCTGGTCTCCTATCTATCCTCCCCAGTAGCTCTCACTCACCCTTCCCTTCTCAGGACGGTGGTTCCATGCTTATGCGGAGGGCCATCACTGCTGCTCAGTCCTGGGGGGGGGATTCCTCAGGGTTTCCGATGCTGTATTATTTTTCTTTCCCTTTTCTTTTTTCTTTCCTTCTCTCCTTTCTCCCCTTTCCTCTCTTCCTCCTTTCCTCCTTAGGATCCGTCCCAGGGAGGCAGGATGGGTTTCCTGGGATTCCTGGGTCCACCAGGCCCAGGCACGGACAGCCAGCCAGGGGGGGTATAGGCAGCAGTGAGCGTCTCCCAGTCACATCGAGGAGGCAGCCAGCTTCCACTTTCACCCGACTCTCCTTCCTCCTGTCAGTCTTCGGCCGGCCGGCATCCCTGCTTCCCAGGGATGCACCGCGGCTGGTCACGTGCCCCGGCCGCGCCTCCTCGTCTCCCGGCAACCAGGCTCAGCATCCCAGTCTCTCTCCACTGCTCTCCGGCTCCCCGGCTCCTCCAACCGCGCACCGCTGCCCATCAAGGGAAGCCCACCCGGCCGAGGTATGTCTCCGCCATCTAGGGCTTCACACCGCTGGGGGGAATTGAGGCTGAAAATAGGGGGGGTCGGTCAGAGAAGGCTCGTTGCAAGAGCTCCTAGCACGAGCTCTCCGCCGCCGCCATCGTCAGGCTCCGCCCCGGAACCACCCGGGGGTTTTCTTACTAATAGAAAAGTATGATAGTTCTGTTCATTTAGTGAGAGTTTAATGCGACTTTATACTGTCTTGCACTCAAGTAGCATCAAAGTCAAATCAAAGTACTGCATGAACCTTTATGTGACCAAAGTTGCATTTTAGTGTTAGGGTTAAGATTGATGTCTAGGGTTAGGGTTAACTGTTAGGGATAGGGAGGAGCTAAGGTTGGGGTTAAGAGCTAGGGTTAAGGATTAGAATTAAGAACTAGGATCAGGGTTAGAGTTAGGGTGAAGGTTAGGGTTAGCGGTAATTGTTAGAGTTAGCATTTCAACCCGAACAATTACCTCTAACTCTATCTCTAACCCTAATTCTAGCCCTTAACCCTGGCCATTAACCCTAAGTGCCCGTTCACATACAGTTGTGTTCAAAATAATAGCAGTCAGACATCACTAACCTGATCAATCACTGTTTTTGGTAGAAATTATATTTCTACATGGCAAATAATTTACTAGCAGGTGTAGTAGAGTAATAGAAATCCAACAGACCCAACAGTCCTGACATGCATGCTGCTGATTCTGTGTAATTGAATCACTAATTGAAAGGGGCATGTTAAAAATAATAGCAGTGTGGAGTTCTATTAGTGAGGTCATTCATTCTTTGAAAAACAGGTGGCAATTATTGCTCTTATTTAAGGAAGGAAGGCAGCAAATGTTGTACATGCTGGTTACAGTGCATTTCTCTCTGAAATTCTGAGGAAAATGGGTCGTTCCAGACAGTGTTCAGAAGAACAGCGTACCTTGATTAAAGAGTTGATTGGAGAGGGGAAAACATATAAAGAAGTGCAGAAAATGATAGGCTGCTCAGCTAAAATGATCGCAAATGCTTTAAAATGGCAACCAAAACCTGAAAGACGTGGAAGAAAGTGAAAAACTACCATTCTAATGGATAGAAGAATAGCCAAAATGGCAAGGACTCCGCCAACAATCAGCTCCAAGAAGATCAAAGAAGGTCTAAAGTTTCCTGTGAGTACTGTTACAATTAGAAGACGCCTATGTGAAGCCAAGCTATCTGCAAGAAGCCCCCGCAAAGTCCCACTGTTGAAAAAAAGATGTGCTGAAGAGGTTACAATTTGCCAAAGAGCACATTGACCGGCCTAAAGAGAAATGGCACAACATTTTGTGGACTGATGAAAGTAAGATTGTTCTTTTTGGGTCTAGTGGCCGGAGACAGTTTGTCAGAGGACCCCCAAACACTGAATTCAAGCCACAGTACACTGTGAAAACAGTGAAGCATGGTTGCGCGAGCATCATGATATGGGGATGTTTCTCATACTACGGTGTTGGGCCTATTTATCGCATACCAGGGATCATGGATCAGTTTGAATACATCAGAATACTTGAAGAGGTCATGCTGCCTTATGCTGAAGAGAAAATGCCCTTGAAATGGGTGTTCCAACAAGACAACGACCCCAAAAACACACCAGTAAACGTGCAACATCTTGGTTCCAGACCAACAAGATTGATGTTATGGAGTGGCCAGCCCAATCTCTGGATCTTAATCCAATAGAAAACCTGTGGAGTGACATCAAAAATGCAGTTTCTGAGGCAAAACCAAGAAATAGAGAAGAACTGTGGAATGTAGTCCAATCATCCTGGGCTGGAATACCTGTTCACAGGTGCCAGAAGTTGGTTGACTCCATGCAACACAGATGTACAGCAGTTCTCAGAAACAGTGCTTATACAACTAAATATTAATTAAGTGATTCAAAGGAAAGCAAAATCTTCAAACATTTTTCAGTTTATATAGTGAATATTTGAGTTTGTAAAGAAGAATACAAACACTGCTATTTTTTTGAACAGTCTAATATTCACTTTTCTTCAATTTTTTTAGAGGAACAACACAAATTTGATATATTTTTTTCATGTTTTGATTTGGAATAGAATGTGTAGTGTTCCCAATGCATTTGTGTGTATGGAAATAAAAACTATTAGAAGGATTTTGAGCTTTATTCACTTTTTTCAACACACTGCAATTATTTTGAACACAACTGTATATGAGGTTTGGATGCGGTTTGAACAGCATCTAATCTGCATGACATGTGAAATACCATTGCTTCCTATGGTGCCTGTTTCACATATGTCCGGTGTATTGGCAGTAAAGATTCTGTGCGGATTCAGTACAGTTTTAAAAAAGAGTCATGTCCAATTTCTGGGCAGTGGCTTCCAGGTTCAGGTGTAAATTACAGGCTATAGACTTCTATGGGAACCGTTCCAAAACCGCATATGTGTGAACAGCACAAAATCCTGAGCTAATCCTGTCCTGAACCTGATGTAAACCTGACGTGAACCTGTGAACAACCACTGTATCAATTAGCTGTGAAACCTGAGCTTCAATCCGCACCACATATGTGTGAATCAGCTCTAACCCTAACATGCGACTGGTCACATAAAGGTTCCTGCACTACTTTGATGCTACTTGAGTGCCGGTGTAAAGTCGCATCAAAGTTGCACTATATGAACTTTTCTATCAGCAAAAAAACCCACAAAAAGCAGCAAATTATGTCTTTTACACACAAAACGCAATCTGCTGTGGGGAAAAAAAGTCCCTGACCCTTTCCAAAAACACACCATCTCAAAACATACATATGTGAACTAGATCCATAGGAAATCATCTTAAATGGACTGTAATGCATTTTTGCAAACTGTAAAACGCACTGAAATCTGCATAAGTGTGAGCCTAGGGTAATGTCACGTATGTGCCTAGCTTGATGTAACATCATTGCTGTAAGGTTTGAAAACTAGCTTTGTAACCAGAGCTGAACCCCATCTCACCTATAGCATACAGGGGAGAACGAGTGGGTGGTCAGTCAGTACAAGGTTAAACCAGTGTGAACTGCGATAACAGTGCCAAAGAATCAAATGCAGAGTAGTAGTTGTGCAAGCAGGGGTCAAAACTAGCTGTGCTTCATGTAATCAGGTAAAACAAAATTCAAGGGTTGAATATTTACTATACGAGCTAAAAATCATGTGCAAAGCCAACCTGTCAAATGGAATAAAAGACCAGAGTAGGTCCAGAGAGGGTCAGCAGTGAGATAAATAAAGAAGCACAAAGAAAAGCACTTTTACGACATTTCAGAATCCCTGATAACCAATCTGATACCACTTGGTGGGTCAATTCCAGGGGCCATAACCTGGTGCCAGCTGTAGCGAAGAGTGCTCAGACCACTAGGGTTTCCAGCCCATCTCCACCATCAAGAGGTCTGGATATCCATTAGGAGGTCTTAGCCCTGGTTCACATATATGCGGCCGTGCAGGCCACGTTTTGCGCGGGCAAGAGAGCCCATTCATTTGAATGGACCCCAATGCCCCGTGACACGCAGGGAAGAAGTCCCTGCACTTCTTTGGAAACGGCAGCCCCCACGGGAACCTTGGTTCCCAGTGCGGTTGCGATTTCCAGTGCGGGCGGCGTGCCATTAGAACTAATGGCACCCGCCCGCGGGTCCGCATTTCTCTGTGCGGGTGGTGTAACTGCACGGATTTTCATGCAGATCCTCAGCAGCACCACCCATAAATACAGGTGAAACTCAAAAAATTAGAATATCGTGCAAAAGTTCATTTATTTCAGTAATGCAACTTAAAAGGTGAAACTGATATATGAGATAGACTCATTACATGCAGAGCAAGATAGTTAAAGCTGTGATTTGTCATAATTGTGATGATTATGGCTTACAGCTCATGAAAACCCCAAATCCACAATCTCAGAAAATTAGAATATTGTGAAAAGGTGCAATATTCTAGGCTCAAAGTGTCCCACTCTAATCAGCTAATTAAGCCATAACACCTGTAAAGGGTTCCTGAGCCTTTAAATGGTCTCTCAGTCTGGTTCAGTAGGAATCACATACATGGGAAAGACTGCTGACCTGACAGTTGTGCAGAAAACCATCATTGACACCCTCCATAAGGAGGGAAAGCCTCAAAAGGTAATTGCAAAAGAAGTTGGATGTTCCCAAAGTGCTGCATCAAAGAACATTAATAGAAAGTTATGTGAAGGGAAAAGTGTGGAAGAAAAAGGTGCACAAGCAGCAGGGATGACCGCAGCCTGGAGAGAATTGTCAGGAAAAGGCCATTCAAAAGTGTTGAGGACATTCACAAGGAGTGGACTGAGGCTGGAGTCAGTGCATCAAGAGCAACCACACACAGATGGATCCTGGACATGGGCTTCAAATGTCGTATTCCTCTTGTCAAGCCGCTCCTGAACAACAAACAACATCAGAAGCATCTTACCTGGGCTAAAGAAAAACAGACCTGGTCTGTTGCTCAGTGGGCCAAAGTCCTCTTTTGTGATGAGAGCAATTTTTGCATCTCATTTGGAAACCAAGGACCCAGAGTATGGAGGAAGAATGGAGAGGCACACACTGCAAGATGCTTGAAGTCCAGTGTGAAGTTTCCACAGTCTGTGTTGATTTGAGGAGCCATGTCATCTGCTGGTGTTGGTCCACTGTGCTGCATTAAGTCCAGGGTCAACGCAGCCGTCTACCAGGAGATTTTGGAGCACTACATGCTTTCTTCCGCAGATGAGCTTTATGGGGATGCTGACTTCATTTTCCAGCAGGACTTGGCACCTGCCCACACTGCCAAAAGCACCAAAACCTGGTTCAATGACTGTGGGATTACTGTGCTTGATTGGCCAGCAAACTCGCCTGACCTGAACCCCATAGAGAATCTATGGGTCATTACCAAGAGAAAGATGAGAGACATGAGTCCAAACAATGCAGAAGAGCTGAAGGCCACTATTGAAGCATCCTGGTCTTCCATAACACCTCAGCAGTGCCACAGGCTGATAGCTTCCATGCAACGCCGCATTGAGGCAGTAATTGCTGCAAAAGGGGCCCAAACCAAGTACTGAGTACATATGCATGCTTATACTTTTCAGAGGTTCGATATTGTTTTATGTACAATCCTTGTTTTATTGATTGCATGTAATATTCTAATTTTCTGAGATTGTGGATTTGGGGTTTTCATGAGCTGTAAGCCATAATCATCACAATTATGACAAATCACGGCTTGAACTATCTTGCTTTGCATGTAATGAGTCTATCTCATATATTAGTTTCACCTTTTAAGTTGCATTACTGAAATAAATGAACTTTTGCACGATATTCTAATTTTTCGAGTTTTACCTGTATTTGAACCAGGCTTTAGAGTCTGCTCCCTCAATAAACCCATGTAACCTACCAGAGGGTATCTTCATATGCACCAACAAGCAAATAAACACTTTAATTGGCATCTAGAGTGTGGAATGAATTTTTTTTAAAGGAGCCTGAGCCAAGCAGAACACCAGCAGCACCAGGACACAGTAAGGACACAGGAATCTGAAACAACCAAAAGAAAGCAGAACAAATAGCAAGAACAGATGAAAGGAGGGCCCAGAACAAGCATCAAAATGTATACAATATATTGTATATATATATATAAATATATATAGCCTTAGGAACTAAAATCATACTGTTTATGACTCCATGATCACAGGTTATGAAAAACAAGTCTTTATTCAGTTTAGTCTTGAATAAAATCATAAGCACATAAAAAGTATAATATAATAAAATGTTGAATAATGAACATATTTTCTGAGTGTTATACATTAATTCCAAAACTTGGGAACCAGCCCACTCGCACATTTATAGAATAACAAAAACAAGTAATAATCATTGCACATAATAACACTAATATATCTGGATAGGTTTGCATGAGGTGGAAGCAGGATATGAAACTAACATATATGATAGATTGAATTGGAGCTTTCACAACTCTCTTTAGCATTCATGCCAAAACACAACCATTTTGAGTATTCTCACGAACAGTGACCACTGTTGAGATTCAACTAATGCCAACTCTTAGCACAGGTTCACATATATGTGGTCACGCGGGCCACGTTTTCCATGGGCACGAGAGCCCATTCATTTGAATGGACTCCCGTGCCCCATGACACGCAGGGAAGAAGTCCCTGCACTTTTTTTGAAAACGTAGCCAGCACGGGAGCCTCGGTTCCCAGTACGGTTGCATTTTCCAGTGCAGGTGGCATGCCATTAAAACTAATGGCACCCGTTCGCGGGTCCGCATTTCTCTGTGCAGGTGGTGAGGCTGCACGGATTTTCGTGCAGATCCGTAGCAGCACCACCTGCACAGATGTGAATCTAGCCTTATTACAAAGCACTCTTTGTGAAACATTTGATTTTAAAAGCTACATTTAACGTACATACAGTATTATTTTGTCAAGAGGCACATTACATTAATATTTACATATCCGACCTTTCCTTGCATTCCACATTGCAAACTATAACATGTTACAGTACTTAGGGTAAGTCTCCATGAGTGTGTCAACAGCATAAAGACAAGACCAAATTAAAGACTGTGTTCCTACTACACACATCTGCTTCTGTGCATTTTGTAAGCCTTGATTTTCACATGCCTACTAAAAATATGTTAATAGGAACTAAATTAAACTTGTCAGAAGAAAATAACAGGAGCTGTCCTCCTTTTGAGAATGCTAGTTTCTTGGCTGTCATGCTTCTTCTCGACTTATTTGTTTAGGGTCAGCAACTCACAGTATTGAAGCCTTAGGGTGATATATTATTTAGCAACACATCTTACCTAAGAACCAATGGGGGGAGATTTACTAAAGCTGGTGCACTCAGAATCTGGTGCAATTGTTCATGGTAACCAATCATATTCTAGCTTCAGCTTGTTCAATTAGGCTTTGGCAATAAAACCTGGAAGCTGATTGGTTTCTATGCAGAGCTGCCCTAGATTTTGCACTTTCCAGTTTTAGTAAATCAACCCCATTTTGCCAGCTTTTTGTTACCATGTCCCAATTTTTTTGAGTTGTGTTGCTGCCATCAATTTCAAAATTAATTTATTTTATTCTTGGTACATTTTCTCAGTTTAAACATTTTGCACACTCTAGTTTTAGTAAAATACCCCATTATATTCAATGTTGGTGCTCAGCCACCAATAAAATTCAAACATGCACTGGAAAAAACCTGAAAGAGAATTACGATTTGCATCACACTGATTGCCCTGGGTCAATACAAAATGGTAATTCTTAAAGGGAATATATAATGTCTCTGTATATATAGTATAGTTTACTTCATTCAAAACTAAATATATGTTAAAAATGTTTTTTAACAGGTAAATACAGTTCAACATATTGCATATGAATACTTCATATTCACATTTACAGCCAGCAGATGGAGACTAGGCTTCTTTTCACACGTTTTTGGGCAAGTCTTGATGTATTTAAGCATATTTGAAGAAAAAGCATTCTGTTTATAGAGCTCAACTACTGAGCTTCAAATGTACATGCAGGACTGAATGAGAGGAATAATACATCTCTCCTTCAGCCTCTGCTTGCTCTTTTCGTTTGGATATAATCTTCTATTTAGAGAGAGTCTTAAAACAGTTTCTTTTTTTTTTTAAATAAAATTATATATTAATAGTCAAATGGGTATATATCATGTTTGAAAATGTATAAATAAAAAAAGGAAAAAGATTGACCCTAAACCTGTTGTAAAAACCTGGCATACTTTATTAGCATATTTAATAAGAACTGTCTGTATTACCCTAGTGTAAAACATCAGATTCACACTTTCATTCTCAAATTTTCATTTCCAGTGCAGAACTGCACATTTGGCAGAGTCAGCCAGGACTATCAAAGTTTCTTTAATGGATATTTAAAAACTAAAAATTGTAGCTGAGCAGTCCTCAGATGTGGTGGCTAAGTAACATTTTCAGCAAGTACAGAAAATGTCTGTTGATCTTGCCGAAAATGCTGTGTCCTTGTCAATTTATGTGAGCTAAACTGAAAGTTACTTCTGTAAATTACTAATTCACCACTCCCCATGTAATGGAGATAAAGAGGGAAATATATGCTTGAAGTCTAACCCAGGTGGCAGCTTTGGCTCCCTCTATAGACAATAAAATGGAGAGGAAATATATAATATCATTAATATTGGAAATTAGAATAAAAAGGATACAACTTTTAGCAATGTACTATTTTTGTAAGATTGAAAACTAATTTCATGGACACTCTGATGATTACAGCCTGCATGTATGCTGCAAGAAAGCCTAGTTATCCCATACCCCTAACAGATAACCTACTCAGAATTCTGGTTTCTTTTTTGTGACATATCCTTTACAGATATGTCACATGTATCAAGATGCTGCGGGGAACTATCTGCATACCTAAGTCCTGTTTGATATGGTACATTATTTGCTTACTTATGTATTTTGTTGCCCCTTTCCCTTTTTTTTTCAAATTGTCCCCTAATATCCATAAATTGGCACAAGCTGTGTATCTAGTACCTTACCTTGACCAATGAGTCTCGTTTACTAATCTGTCCCACCTATCAAATTTTTCTTTTAACTACTTGCCCTCCAAAGGATTTACCCCCCTTCCTGACCAGGCCATTTTTTTTGCGATATGGCGCTGCATTACTTTAACTGACAATTGCGCGGTCATGCAATGCTGCACATAAATTAAATTTATGTCTTTTTTTTTGTGCTATAAACAAAAAAAGACCGACAATTTTAAAAAAAAAACAATATTTTTTACTTTTTGCTATAAACCCTATCCAGTGAAAAATTTAAAAAATCTAATTTCTTCATAAATTTAGGCCAAATTGTATTCTGCTACATGCCTTTGCTATAAAAAAATCCCAATACATGTCAATTTATTGGTTTATGTGAAAGTTATAGTGTCTACAAATGGCAGTATATATACTGGCATTTTTATTTTATTTTTTTTTTATACTAGTAATGGCGGCGATCAGCAACTTAAAGCAAGACTGCGGTGGGCATTCTGACATTGGGTGGGAACTGACTAACTGTCACCGACAACCCAATGACACTAATACAGTGATCAGTGCTAATAAAAAGCACTGACACTGTATTACTGACACTGGGCAGGAAAGGGTTAACATCTGGGGCGATCAAAGGGTTAATTTTGTGCTTTTTTTACATTATGTACTGTGTGTGTTTTACTAGGGAGACATGCTGTGCAGAGAGATAAAAAGCAGCATGTCCTTGCTCGCAGGAGAGAGACCTGTGTTGTTTACCTTGCTGGCAGGACAGGAGACAGACCCAGTGATTGGCATCCCTAGCCACCAATGGCGGTGCGGGTAGGGCGACGTGCCCGTGCACATGCGCTCCCTACCCGGAAATGCAAATCACGTATATATACATGTGATTTTTCACAGCCCTGCCACCCTGTAGCAGTAGTTCCACTATAGGGCAGCAGGAAAGCGGTTAAGAAAGTCAACTCACTTGCTTCCAAGGCCTGCCTTAGTCTCCTAAATTTGACCAATGCACAAATAGGACACACACAGTAAAAGCTTCTTTCCCTTTTTTCTTCATATAAAGAAAAGATCGTCAGGAAATGGTTAATGCTATCACTTCCAACAGTTGGAAATACTTGTTTTAAACTTTTTGTAACTAGCCTTATTGTCATGACATTTTTTTGTCATGAGTGATTTTCTTATTGGTTACATCACCTACTTTTAGCAGGTTGTATATGGCCAAAGTTTTAATGCCAAGTTCTAATGAAACTCTACTTAAAATGTTATTTTTTTATTGTTTTAGATATACTTACCTGAACCCGATCAAGCAATGTGCATGAGAGCAGCGGCTCTCGCCATTGTCTCCCTCCTCCCTGGGCAGATTGATAGCCATTGGCTCACACTGCTATCAATCAAATGCTGTGCTGACCTAGCAGGGGCGGGGCCCAGCTGCCTCTTCTGTGTCAATGAACGCAGACAGGGCAGTTCCAGAGTGTGCCTGCTTGGGTGTGCCCATGGAAAGTGGCTTTCCATGGGGGGCACCCACCAAAGAGGAGAAGCCTAGAGTTCCAGCAGGGGACCCCAGAAAAGGAGGATCTGGGCAGCTTTGTGCAATGCACAGAGCAGGTAAGTATACCATGTCTGTTATTTTAGTAAAAAAAAAAAAAAAACTAACGTTTAATGTCGCTTTAAAAAACGCCAGTGCTCTTTGCTGAAAAAAAATTTGAGCTAGCATTAAGGAGTGTTTTAGCAACGTTTAGGGGCATTTAGAGTTTTTTTCGGCAAGAAAAACACTCTCAAAGATGCAAAACAGGAGCGTTTTTTTTTCTGCTTCTAAGCGCTGAGGTTAAAAAACACCTCTAGATTACCTAATGTGAATGGACACATAGGATAACATTAGTTGCTTCCACAGTCAAAAAGCTAAACTGTAGAAGCAATGCTTTTATAAGCCAGTGGGCATGGAGCCATAGAAAGTAAGGACAAATCTCCCCAAAAGAGGTACAGACAGCAGTAAAAGCCTTTAATTATCTATATGCATTTGTTTGTAGATTGCCATTACTAAATATTTCTAAATGTGCCTTTGTTGTAATTTTTATGATAAAAGTGAAGTTCCTGAAAACATTGATCTCGGCTTTCACTTTTTAAATGTACGGTAACTCTTTTTAAGGGTCATCTTCCATACTTTTAAAGACTTGGGGGTCATAAACAAGCAATGATGGATATTGTGTTCCTGGGCAGAAAAGGTTTTTTTAATGTGAGGAGACATATAAGAGAAATATTGTGTAACGTATAAAAACCTGCATTGACAGAATGGAGGCTGTCCCTGCTAACCTTTACTACTGAATAATAAGTCTCTTAATGCTCCTATAACTTATTATTTTTGTATCTTATCATTTGATTTTTAACAAATCACGATATCCATTTTAAAGTCTGATTATGACTGTTGCCAATTCACTGAATTGAAATATTCACTTGGCAAAAAAAAACAAGCATTGGCTTGTCAACTCTGCTCTATTATAAACCAGTAGATTTTAGTTTCAAAGTTATGCAGAAGGCTGCAATACCTCTGTTTCTGGACCTTATGTATGTGATTAGACCATGACGGTCTGATCACACCTGCATGCCTCATGTCTCAGTGGTAGAAAATGCCAAACTTTCCAGCTACTCTAAAATTTGAGATCCCTTCAACAGGGAATTTGACAATAGAATCTCTGAGTAATTTCAATGTCAATACAGATATCCCAGCCTTTTTGAAAGGGTAGCATTCTGTATAGCAATTCACAATGTAAAATTTCTTAAACTGTGTATTGACTGATTGCATGTGGAAAGATAACTGAATCGGTATAGGGTACAGTTTCTCATTAGGCAAATGAGGTACTGTGTCTAGGGCTCAGAGAAATGTTGAGGCCTCCAAAGGAATAAAAGTTACGTTATCTAGTAAAATAGTCCTCTGGACTACTTAACACTTCATAATGGGGTCTTCAAAACTGTCGTAATGTAAGAAAACACATCAAAGTATTAAAAAAAATGAACACTAGGTGGAAACTGTAATTGAGGATATTTTTTAGTTCTAAAAAATACCCTTAGCTGGACTGCATTCTGTGTGATCATGTCTTGGGGTTTTTTATTGCCATACAGACTTCCCAAAAAGTGTCCAAGGGATGTTGGAGTTTAAGCAAATAATAAAACTGATATAAAATATCTAAATAATTATTGTTAGTTTTTTAAATTGGACCTGATGTTAAGAAGTGAATATTTTCTGTGGTATAAGAAAAATCTAGAAATGGTAATGGTGTAGTACTCTGAAAAAATACCCTTTGTCTTGAATTCCAACTGAAAATTAGCAATGCACTTCCTGACATGTGATGGCACCTAGGTACTTCTGTGCCTATAGTCTCTTACTTGTATGTCTGTTGTGTGAGATCATGTAAAGCACTGCTGCATCTTAACGCTGGTCTAATGAGATTTGGAGATGTCACTACTGTATTGCTTGCTGAAAAGGAATATGCACTGCATGCATCTCCCTGATTTTTCTTCATCTCTTCTGTGGATCTGTGCTTCCTACACCTTTACTTCTTAAATGGTAAGGGTAAGGGGGGGGTGCAGCGTCAAGGAAGCAAAGCCCTATTCTTCAATGAAGATGGCCCACATCCACACAGAAACAGTGCAGAACAGCAACGTCAAGTCAGTAATAGGAAAAGGATCAACTGCAGGAGGAGCCGAGAAGTTGACTAGTCCTTTATCCACTACTTGCCTTTTTTGGGCACACCTTCAGGCCCTCTTATAAAAACATTAATACAGTATTAGAGCCTTGTAATACATGCATTGGTAAACAGTGACTTTTATACTGTAAATGAGTACAAAGCTAAAGAGATCTATGATGACTTTAAGGTCCTTGTACCTGAACTCCTCCAATAGGTATTTTGGTTAGTGAACCTTATTTACATCCCCATTAGTTTCCCTGTCAGCTCATGAAAATGACTATAAAAATGGCTGAGTTTTAGAGTACTGTGCAAAATATAACTAGGTTACTAGGCCTTCATAAAAACGTATGCATTTCACTGTAAAAAAAAAAGTCACAATTTCAAGGCCTCTGATAAAAATATAAAAAATGCAGTACAGTAATTGCTTTCATATAATCAAACATCGAGTAGAAAGCAATTGTAAACAATGAAAAAAATTGTAACTGCATGCTTTAGGTTTTAAAATTCAGCATGCTTTTGTTCCGTTTTACATCCTCTCTTGGTTCGTTTCAAGGTACTGCTTATTGTTAGCAAACCATTTCAATGTGTGAATAGAGTGATGTAAATGATAGCTAGTGAGATCAACAGCATCTGTTTGTGGTCTGCGTGGTCTGTCGTCCGAGTTTCATTGCTCCATTAGAGCCATTCTGATGTGGATCCAGTGGAGGGATTCTCCGACCTGCAATAAACAAACAGCCATTTTGTCAACAGTTTCAATTGATAGGTCCTTTTGATTTAATTTGCCTTTAAAATTATATTCTTTTTTATATGTAGACCTATCATCAGAAAAGCAAACATTTTCTCAAGACGGAAGGAGATAAGCTTTCTTTAATAAATACCCTTTAGCACATGGCAAGGGTTGCCTGTATAAAAATTTGTATAGCTGATTTTATCATATGTATAATAGTTAATACACATCCTCATATTCCTAGTGCTCACATAATTCTTTTATATGAAAAAAACATTAAATGTTGTTGCTACTAACTTTGAGCCTTTGTAACATGTATTAAATATACATATACATATAACAGAAGGTGGTCAACTACATCATATGGCCAATATGTTTGTTGGCATTCAACCATTACATCTAAATGAACTTGTTGGCCTTACCACTCCAAACAATGGGCAATAATATTGAATTTTCCCTTTTGGTGTGTTTGTTGGAATTTGAAGTCAGGTACTGATGTTGGATGAAAAGACCTGGTTCACAATAGTTGTTTCAATTTATCCCAAAGGTGTTCAGTAGGGTTGAGATTATAGGTTTGTGCAGGCCATTCAAGTTGCTCCAGAACAAGCTTGCAAAGCCATGTCGTTACAAACCTGGCATTGTGCACAGGGATGATTTCATGCTGCCCAAAAAAATCTGTAGCCAAACTGCTTCAAATGTAGAGTTTTCAGGACTTTACAGAAATTTGGTCATCTAAATAAGTGTACTGGAACGACCAAGATGGATGCTGCTGTCTAAGTAAGTCATGGATACGTCATGGATATGCAGTACATCATCTGCCTACAATGTAGTTTGTCCAAAGCTCCTTTAATACCACAAGTAAGCACCCTTTTGGAGCTGCTAGAAAAGTTCCTTCGTCAGGTAAAAGTGATGTATCACTTTTGCCTGACCAAGGAGCCCTCCTAGCAGCCTTGAAGTGGTGGTTATATGTGATTACTCATTTGGACATGCCACAAGGTGTGCTGATGACATACTATATTTCCATTAACCTCCAAACTTGGAAGCATATAACTGTCTAAAACGTCTATGTATGGTAATCTTTGTCAATGGAAATCACATGATTATAGCTATGTGCTTGATTTTTTTTTTTTTGCATCTAGTTTTAGAACGGATGTCCAACCAGATCAGCAGATCACTGGTGTCATGCAAGTCTCCTGGACTCGAAAAGCCAATGAACTACAATGCTCTACAGTGCTCCACAGCGCCGTGGTAGTTCATTAAGAAAACACAAGCAGACAGCTGCAAAGGCTTTTGGAACCTGTAGTGTTCTCATTCACAGAATGCTGCATTTTTTTTTTTTTTGTGACAGCTAGCGGGGGATAAGAAGGGCAGAAGATCCCCCGCTAGCTGTCACAATGGCCAGTCCATTCATAATATGTTGCATGTTACACCCTGATTATGGGTGTAACATGTAACATGTTATAAAAGGTGAACGTATCCACTTTGTATTGCCCCCTTTAACATCAAGGACAACGTTCAGTCTTTTGTAATAGTAGTCTGTGAGGCCCCAAATTCTTTCAGGTGGTATAGCTGACCATTCATCTTGGCAAAACGTCTCCAGGTCATGCAAAGTCTTTGGTCTTCTTGCATGAATGGCTCATTTGAGATCTCCCCAGAGTGCTCAATGACATTATGGTTAGGAGACTGTGATGGCCACTCCAGAACCTTCACGTTTTTTTTTGCTGTAACCAGTAGAGAGCCAACTTGGCCTTGTGCTTAGGGTCATTGACATGCTGGAAAATCCAAGGGCATCCCATGTGCAGCTTTCATGCAGAAAAATGCTAATTGTCTGCCAGTAATTTCTAATAACATGCTGTATTCTTCTTGTCATCAATTTTCACAAAATTCCCCCATGGCTTTCGAGCTCACATACTCCCAAAACATCAGTGAGTCACCACCATGCTTCCTGGTGGGGATGGTATTCTTGTCGCTATAGGCCTTGTTGACCCCACTCCAAACATAGTGCTTATGGTTGTGACCTATTTGAGCTCTATTTTGGTCTCATCACTTCAGATTACAGTGTGCCAGAAGCGTGACAAAGTGTTGTTGCGCATATTGTAACCAGGTTTTTTGTGGCATTGGCACAGTAAAGATTTCTTTCTGGCAACTTGACCATGCTGCTTATTTTTGTTCAAATATCGTCATTATGTGCTCCTTGAAACAACCACACTGTCTTTTTCAAGAGCAGTCTGTATTTCTTCTGAGGTTATCTGTGAGTTTTTCCTTCTGGCAGCTGTGGCTGCAATTTTTCTTGGTCTACCTGACCTTGGCATCAAGAGATCCCCGAATATTCCACATCCTAAAAAGTGATTTACCAGTATTGACTGACATATTCATGGCTTTAGATATCTTTTTATATCCTTTTCCATCTATACAAAGTTCTGCTACCTTGTTACGCAGGTCTTTTGACAGTTCTTTTCTGCTCCCCAGTATCTAGCCTGCTTAGTGCATCCACGTGAGAGCTAACAAACCCATTGCCTATTTATATTCAGACACTAATTGCAATTTAAAAAGCTACAGATGTGGGAAATTAAACTTTAATTGCCATTTTAATCCATGCGTCTCACCTTGTGTGTGTGTACCAAGGGCAAAAATTCCAGGGAATGTAAACTTTTGATTCCGGCCATTTGGGTGATTTCTGTTATCAATATGATTTAAAAAGGAGCCTAACAACTATGTGATAATAAATGGCTTCATATGATCACTATCCTTAAATAAAAGGCAGTTTTTGGCATGATAAGCCATATTTTCAATATCAATGCCAATATTTCACAATTTCTGCCAGGGTATGCAAACTTTTCTTCTATTTTCCTGTATGTGTCAGCTTTGTCATTATAGACAAGCCCATAGCGTTGCTGCAAAATCACAAGGATGCCTGAAGAAGTGAAGACAGCACAATGTGTGCAGAGATTATAGGAGCAGGGGAGTGGCAACAGAGGCCCAAGCCCCTTTTCAAACCTAGTCACAGAAGCAATTATTTTACATATGTCACTTACCTAGATTTCAGAAAAAAAGATTTAAATGAAGAAATACAATGTAGGGACACTTGGCTTTGTAGGTTAGAGTTAAAATTTTGAAATTTTGTTCTTTCTGTAATTGGCGGTGGGGGGAGGGGTTTGCAGAGATAAGTAACAGGTTGCAGAGTGTAAATCAAAAAGAACATACACACTATGCTAATAAAAATAACAGAAAATCATATATTTACTTATACCACGGAAGAGTTCCTCCACATTGATGGCATTCTTTGCACTAGTTTCAACAACAATTGCCCCAATAGAGTCTGCATATTCCTTGGCATCTTTCATTGATACTTCCCTGAAATGAAGACAAGCACAAGTCACTGAATTGGTTACATTTACATTACAGGCTGTGAAGAGGTTATTAAGTGTTCTTGCATGGCAAGACCACTTACTGTTATCTCACATATATATTCTTATTCTTATAGCCAAATTTACCACCCTAACTCCTCCCACAGTTTTTACACTACATAGACAGTAATATACCGAAACGTGCGGATTGTTCCTGATTGGTGTGCTATTACTTTGTGGAACGCTTCGACGAATGGTTCACGAAATATCAGTGTTTTTGTGGTGAAATTGGTCCCATAGGAATGAATGGCGGAATGTTCAAAGCTAGAGTGTGAGCTGAAAAATCAGGACATGATTTCTAAACTGCCATCACTCCCTCATTTTCAAGCCCACCTACACAAATCTTATATCAAAACGTTCAGCTATCCCTGCTGCCACTAAAAATGTCCACAGCTAAGCCAAAGTCCTGATAGTTTTCACAATATGACCATTTGTTTGCAACTCACGCCGCCCATTCATTGAAACTCCACTCTAGCCACCTCAAATTTGAAGGGCAATTTCTAAACTGCGACTGTGCGTTCATTTTTAATATTTCAGAGACATACTATACATTAAAATGTAGGTCTGGGTCTTGTGATTCTCACAATTCTTTGGTGTAGGATTTATAATTTTTAAACGACAACCGTTTGAATATGGCAACCGCCAGTGAAGTGAGCAAGTTGGAGCAGTTTGTTTTTAAACCGCTCTTCTCTGCCCTTGCTGTAGAGTGAGTTGCCATAGGAACCCAGGTGTGTGAGCAGGCAGCAGAGTAACAAAAGCTAGAGTGTGAGCTGAAAAATCAGGACATGATTTCTAAACTGCCATCACTCCCTCATTTTCAAGCCATAGACTACTGGTGGAGGCAAGAACAGCTTTTCTAGTATTTACTTATATAACTTTTCCACTCATTGTTTGTCTTTAAAGGAAACCCACAGAAGTAAAAAGACTGATAAAAATGTATCCCTTTGAAATGCTACATGCCTGGCTTGAAGTCCTTGGATCAACCTGACAACCAGGAATATAGAATTTCATATAGAGGTCAGCATTAGTTTTAGTTTTGATTGAATGGGGGGGTTGAAACCCCATCAGGTTTTTACTGCTGTCGGGGTCCCCATTAGGGAGACTTCCTCTCATTTCCTGTCCAGGTGACAATGGACAGGAACAAACAGCAACATTGGTGAAAACTGAAAGTAAATTTGAAAGCTAGAATCTGCATACCTGTTTTAGGCCAGTGCCTCAACTTTTTTTTTGCTGCAGGGAAGTAGATTGGAGTTTAAGAGAAGTGGTCGTTTTATGTTCCAGTTGGTTGCACTATTGTGTTGGTGTGGTCCCTGTAGAGTACTTGGTTGATGGGTAGGCAGCTTCAGCACACCAAGGGGTAAAAATGGCCCCCCTAGGTTAGGTTGATGAAATTCTGAACATGGTGTGGCACTTTATTTTGCTGTTCAGAATTTCATCAACCTACCTCCAATTGTGCCACCAACTGGAACATTTATTTGCAACTTATCGTAAGCTCCAGGTTCTAGTGTCATCATACCAATAAAAGCCGGGGCACTGATCTAAAACAAGTATGCAGATTTTGGCTTTCAAATCTACACTCTCCGGCCACTTTATTAAGTACACCCTGCTAGTCCCAGGTTGGACCCCCTTTTTCTTTCAGAACTGCCTTAATTCTTTGTGGTGTAGATTTAACAAGGTGCTGGAAACATTCCTCAGAGATTTTGGTCCACCCTGACATGATAGCATCACGCAGTTGCTGCAGATTTGTCAGCTGCAGATCCATGATGCAAATCTTCTGTTCCACCACATCCCAAAGGTGCTCTATTGGATTGAGATCTGATGACTGTGGAGGCCATTAGCGTACAGTAATGTCATTGTCATGTTAAAGAAACCAGTTTGATATAATTTGAGCTTTGTGACATGGTGCATTATCCTGCTGGACGTAGCCATCAGAAGATGGGTACACTAGTCAAAGGGATGGACATGGTCAGCAACAATTCTCAGGTAGGCCGTGGCATTTAAATGATGCTAAATTGGTACTAAGGGGCCCAAACCTGAATGTTGCAGCTAGAAATGGAGACTCATCAGACCAGGCAACATTTTTCTAATCTGCTACTGTCCAATTTTGGTGAGCCTGTGCGAATTGTAGCCTCCATTCTCCATTCTTAGCTGACAGGAGTGGCACCTGCTGTGGTCTTCTTCTGCTGTAGCCCATCTGCTTCAAGGTTCGACATGTTGTGTGTTCAGAGATGGTATTCTGCATACTTTGGTTGTAATAAATGGTTATTTGAGTTACTGTTGCCTTTCTATCATCTCGAACCAGTCTGCCCATTCTCTTCTGACATCAACAAGGTATTTTTGCCCATACAATGGCCGCTCACTGGATATTTTATCTTTTTCAGACCATTCTCTGAAAACCCGAGAGATGGCTGTACATGAAAATCCCAGTAAATCAGCAGTATTTGAAATATTCAGACCAGCCTGTCTGGCACCAATAACCATGCCACGTTCAAAGTCACCTAAATCCCCTTTCTTCCCCATTCTGATGCTCGGTTTGAACTTCAGCATGTCATCTTCACTTTGTCTAGATGCCTAAATGCATTGAGTTGTTGCCATGCGATTGGCTGATTAGCAATTTGTGTTAACAGGCAAATGAACAGGTGTACCTAATAAAGAGGCTGGAGAGTGCATATGTTTGTTCTAGGGTAATACTGACCCAGTTTTAAAGCCACTGGGTCAGTATGAGAGCCACTGAACTAGCAGAAGGAAAAGTCAGAAATAGCAGTTTAAATATTTTCTCAACAAGACTTTCTTTAAAAAAATCAGAATCATCAGACCAGCATTTAAAGGAAATCTGTAAATATTCAAATCAGAGACAGCCAGGCAAATATTCTTCCTAGAAGGAAGTCAGCAGCGGTAGCCCCAACTTTTCTCTTTATACAGTGCTTTGAAAAAGTATTCATACCCCTAGAAATTTTCCACATTTTGTCATGTTACAACCAAACACGTAAATGTATTTTATTGGGATTTTATGTGATAGACCAACACATAGTTGCACATAATCATGAGGTAGAAGGAAAATAATAAATTGTTTTCAAAATTTTTTACAAATAAATACCTGAAAAGTGTGTTGTGCATTTGTATTCAGCTTCAGCCCCCCTGAGTCAACACTTTGTAGAACCACCTTTTCGCTGCAATTACAGCTGCAAGTCATTTTGGGGATGTCTCTACTAGTTTTGCACATCTAGAGAGTGACATTTTTGCCCATTCTTCTTTGCAAAATAGCTCAAGCTCTGTCAGATTGGATGAAGAGCGTCTGTGAACAGCAATTTTCAAGTCTTGCCACAGATTCTCAATTGGATTCAGGACTGGACTTACGTTTTTGGTTGTAACATGACAAACTGTGGAAAATTTCAAGGGGTATGAATACTTTTTCAAGGCACTGGAGTAGCTATAGCAGATGCAAGGTATATAAAATACATAACTGCTTTCTGTCCCAGTGACAATGGATATAAGATAAATAGAGAGGGTAAATCTCCATAGTGGAGCCAATGTTATCAAGTTTTAATTCTTTCTCAATCTAGCCAAAATGAAAAAACTATTTGGGCTTTAAATACAGAATTTTAGAGTATTTTGTTCCAAATAAATAATTTTTTGCTTTCGACTTTTAACAGCTTATTGGGATAACGTCTTCATTTACACGATCACTTATTGGTAATAAATTGGAGTTAACAGATACTGTAAAAAGAAATAGTGAGCTGTAGGTGTAATAATTACAAAAATTATAGCTATAAAAAAGGGAATAGCTGATTACTAGGAGCTGTTAAGAGCTGTTCACTATGACTTTTTTTGGTTCATGAGGACATTAGTTTCGCATGACTTATGCAAGTAGGTATTATGAAAGTATACTTGTGAAATTAGAGGAAAGCATTACTGCAAATGGCACTCCATATACTGAACAACAAGAAATTATTTTTAGTACTAGGGCTACACCCTAAATACACACAGTGATGTCAAATTAAATTATTCATTCTATCTCACCACTTCTCTCCCAGTGCTAAAAAGGAGGTAAAGGGAAGAACAGGAAGGCTACCACTGATTTGGCAGGGAAGTTGCCTCCCTTTTGCCAGAGAACCCCTAAAGGGGCGTACCTTTTATCTGTTTGCCACAGCAAAAGCTGAAGGAACAAGTACTAAGAAGATAAAGTATATAAAACAAAGCACTCCTGTCATACCAAACTAGAGTAGGTCAATAAATAAAGCCAAGGACCACCCCGTCATTAAAAAATCCTGACAATTGTTTGGAGAACCAAAGCTCTCCCATGTCTGTTTCTAGAAAGCAATGTTTAGTACTGAATACTTTAGGTCCTTAGCAGTAACATTATGGCCCATGGAAATCTTCCATTTTAACCATTTACTGTATAAATGTGACCTGAAGTTGATATTACAGCTGAGTTAATCACTTATTTCATCTTTCAGTCGTTGTCTATGTTCCAGTTTAACCCCTTTCCGCTGGCACCTCCCGGCCCGGCCCGGCCCTTTAAGAGTTTCAGAAGCCGGGAGGCGGGCAGGGTTCTAGGGTCACGTGACTGCCGTGATTCGCTGTCACATGATTGGAAAAGGTCCCAATCGCAAGGGGAGATTGGGACC